TTATCAATTAAGAATTTATATTTATGAAATATGATTTAGAACCTAGCCTTAAGACACATGCATATGAAGCATGAAAATAGCTTGGAAGAAACCATAATTTAAGATCTCAAATACCCATAGTTACTATCAAGGATGGTTCAAAAGGAAGGAGTTAGAATTGGTCAAATTTGATTTTAAAAATGAGTTTCTTATGAAAAATTGAGTAGGGAAATGTTAGTACAAGAATTTAATGTCAAAGGGAAAATAAAGTGAAAAATTAAGATAATGAAAGCAAGAATTAAATAAGAGTAAGTTGTCATTTATTGACAATGTGATTATTGACACTAACAGTTGTCATAAATATTTTATGGCAAATATTTAGGGTCAATAAGTGTTATGGCAAAGGAATTGGAGGTTTGGTCATGGGGGATCAAATGAAAGCAAGAAAAATAGAGAAAAAATAGTAAATCCAAAAGGTAGTAAACTTACCTTTCATTGTATGCTTGGTATTTATGCTTGCATGATGATATGTATGATTAGTTTCTTTGTTTCTATAGATCATGAATGAATGTTTGAAACCCTGTTTTTGAGTGTTTCATGGTCCATGTATGTTGTATGAGCATGTAACACGTTAATATGTTGAAGTCATGTAATGCAAGTATATGTTATGTATGAAACTTTTGCCTTGCATGCTTGAATGATATTGTTTACTATTGAGATTCTCTCGAATCTCACCCTCAATGACTAACCATGTTAGGTTATAAGCCTCCAAAAGAAGAGCTAAAGCAAGAAGCAAATATAAGTAGAATAGGAAAAATAATTTTTCCTATGGCATTATTTTTATAAAAATGAGAAATATATAAATAAGTCCATAAGCTATATAAATTTATAATAAGTCTTTGGTGTGCATAAGTGATATGCGCTGATGCATGATGACTAATATAGAGTCCTAAACTAGCCTTGAAATTATGAGTTTAACATGTATGATTGGGATTGTTTAGCTTAAACTCTTTTTAGAGGAGGGTTACTATTTGATTATTTAACGTATAATAACCCATATCCAATGCTCATGAGAATTTCTATGATAAAACTTGACATATAAAAATTTCTAAAAAGTCCTAAATCAGATCATTTGGACATGCACAACTTGAGTTACGAATTTTTCAAATTATGGCACAAATTCTATTAAAGAAATAGCAGATTTGGAAAAATAAATAAAATGTACTATTTGCATCTAAAAAGGGTTAAAAATGTATTTTTATCACTTAAATGAATTTAATAGATTTCAAGATAATTTTAGATCATCCTCATATGAATTTTTTAGATTTAGTTATGAATTTTCAAAGTTCAACAAAAATTCTAGACTTACCAAATAAGCAAATAACCCAATAAATAATTTGTGAATTTTAATTTATGGGCTTCAATTTCCATTTCTCCTGAATCATATCGCTCTCAATTGTATAGGAAAAGTTTTAAAAATTAGGATTTGATAATATATAAATCAGAATGAATTACTGGTTTGTTCCATATAAAAAGACTATACAATACTCACATGCAACTAACGGCTAGTTGAGGAAACGAGATAATGATGCTTCTGCTATAAGAAAATTAAATATAAAAGTGTCACAAAAATGGTACTCTTGTTACATATGATTCACATGTCAAAGACACCTCAATGATCATTAGCAAAAAGACTCTTCACCATTGCATTTTGGACCTGTTGGGACAAGAAGCAACTGCATTGCACAAACCAAATATATCCATGTCACGGGCCAAAAAACAATTGAAGAAATGCACCAGATTTGCCAAGCCACACAAATTGATCAACAAACAAGGATTCAAGGAAGTTGACAGCAATGCACTACTGGACTGCGAAAAAAGAGAGGCATTAAATATTATATCAAGGTAAGGATAAGGAGCAAAATAAATATTTTGAAACTTCATGATAACCAAAGCTGAAGAACAAAAATTAAAGAGATAATAAAATTTTTAATCTGTCAAATTTTCTCTATTATTGATTTAGTTTTTTAAGGTTAATTTTGATTTATTTATTTTTTTATATTTTTTAAATTATCATTTTATTAGTTACTTACGTTTTAAAACACGAATTTATTCTTTCTAAACATTAATGAAGTCTAAGAACAAGACTCAGCCCAACAAACTTAAGCCCAAGATAATAACACATGGACCAAAGGGTTGAGCCCACTAGAAGTGAGAATCCATCTGATTGTATTCATTTGTTATTGTTCATTATTCATTGTACACGTGGCCTTTGTATAAAGCTCTAGAGTTTTCAATATCTTCTCTATATAAGAAATAATTAGCCTTGGGTTCTGTGAACAACATATTACACTTTCCTTCTTGGTGTTTTCTTATCTCAAATTAATATATGAAGTATTTTAATAACTTAATATGTATGTGTAAATTAATGAAAATAAGTTAACTTTTAAATCAGTTTAATTTTTATTAATCTAGTCCCTCATACAACATTTTGTTCTTTTATTTTTTTTAAATTTCTGAGTCTTTTTTTTTCTATCTAAATAATTTTATTTTTTAATTTCGTTATTTACGTCAGTAAAGTTTTACATTGTTACCTCCTATTTACACAATAAAAACTAAATCAATAATTTAAACAACTTAATGAACCACATTCATAAAAATTAAACTTGAAAGATCAAATTGATAATAAAACAAATTTGAAATATTAAAAATTTCATTATCTCAAAATTGAAACACAATTCTAATGTTCAAAAAGGGCAGTTTTAGCCCAACAGAATTTTAATCCACTTTCAGACACATTGAATAGAATGAGCACAAATTTATTCCCACATGTTAGGGGAAAGAGCAAGACAAATTAGCACAAGGACAAAATCTCAGATAGGTCACGAAATAGAATATTCAAAATATGTTAACTGACAAAAATCATAAAGTTTCAGCAGTCATTTACAAACTCTCAATTATAAGTCATTCTCAGACTAACACACCTGTCAAAGCAGAGCAAGGCAACAAAATTATACCGTAAAAAATGATGAAGATTTATTTATTAGTCATAAAGGAGCCACTGCAAATAGGAAATGATAATGGACAAACCGGCTCAAGCTCAGCCTAGGATGGTCTATTAAGACTTCATATCTTACATAAATTGAAATACCACCAACAAGCTTTGTGTTTTGCCCTTTTACTTCCTCTAATTTTATTTATGAGATCTTACCTATAACTTGTTTTTTATTTTGGGGCCTGACAATGCACTTACCTATGAGTTGATAATATACTAGAGTTTTACGGAATTAAATGAAGCATTTGAATAATCTTAAAAAATACCTTTATTTATTTCACTTTTGGTTTAACTAACAGATTTAATTTGATTAAAGGTAATCTTCAAAAGTTGTAAAAAGTTTTCATATGTAAATAGCTTCATTAATTTCACAAAATTTTCACATACTATAAATAAACAATTTATTTTATTCCAAAAACAACCTATTTTATAATCACACAAATTACTTTAGAATTTGTTATCAGGAGTATATGAAAATTATATAGAACAATTTGGTGATTCAGAAAATATTATCCTCACAAATAAAATGTAAATACAGGCTCAATCAATAAATAGAAAAATAAAACAAAGTAGATATCAAAAGTACACTCCTATAAAAAAATTTACATCTATATCCAACAAATATATATGTGCGCGCGTGCGTGTTGTTTTGTATGTGTTGTCAGTATAATTTACAATAGTTATTATACATGTTAGAGTACTATACTGTATAAAAACTATGTAGAGAAATAATAAATAACATATATGTGTGTGTATATATATATATATTAAAGAATTGTTCAAAAAATAAAAAAATTGGACGAAGTTTGGAAAAAGGCATACTTCTTTTTTCAATAAGGTGTAAATATTGAAATAATAAATACAATATTGTAAAAAAATTTACCTCTTTAATTTAGTATATCTAAACATGGAAGAAATATCTAATTACTTTTTTTTTTTAAATCAAGAGTGATTTTAAGATAATAGTAGTGAAGGTGAGCTTATAATTAAAAAGCAAGGAAGGGAGAGATACCTGTAAAGATATATCAAAGAAACTGTCTGTATGGGAGGTGCTTTTGTTTGCTCCTGCCTATAAATTTCAGTTGCAAGGGGTGACAGATGATGTCATCGTCAGATTCGTTGGATTCATTTTGTTTGCTCCTGCCTATACATTTCAGTTGCAAGGGGTGACAGATGATGTCATCATGAGATTTGTTAGATTCAGTTGGTTGGAAGATACCTTCATTTTTCTGTTTCTTTGATTGGAGGGAGCCGTTCTTCATCCGAGTCCGACTGTGAGTTATATGTCACATGCACTCCACATGCTTTCATTGGAACTGCTACCTCTCCATTAAAAAAATCATCATTGCAATAGTCCGCATAGAATTCACATGAAATCTTGGCAACATCACCTGTTCTAGCACTAAGCAAAGCCCTTTGCGATTTCAAGTACCATATGTAAACACGAGCCGACTTCATTTTACGATTGAAATAAGGAACAAATGAACTGCGGAATTTGTTGTTATCATCATAAGAGACATAACAGTAGGCCCGCTCCACGTAAGGTAAGCGGGGATGAGAAGGAACAACGCAGCAACACAAGATGGTGGGTGATCGTTTGAGATTGCAAATGAATTCGATAGCATTGGAAGCCTCTGTCTGATGTTTATATTCCATCCATTCTGGAACTCTGCTTCCCGCGTAACAAGCCGATATATCACTGCCCCACTTAGCCTCACAGGCTGAAGTCAAAGAGGAATGAGTTAGTTTCTCAATGAAGTGAAGAGAACACTCATCCAACTTTATACAATTCTGGAAATCAAATCGACACTGATTTTCAACTAGAGAGTCAGAGAATACGTTCTCCAATGAAGTGCATCCTTCAGCATTAAAATATTCAAGGGAAGGAGGAAGTCCAAGTATAGACTTAAGCCTCTCGCAGTCTTTCAAGATCATGATTTTCAAGCTTGTTAAGGCCTTGATATTGTCAGGGATTTCCACCAAGTAACTGCATCTTTCAAAACGTAGTTTTATTAAATTACGCCAAGCACCAAAAAGAGAGCATAGATCTGTTGTGTGAATCACCTGCTGGAAATCCCAAATTTGAAATCCCTCAAGATTTGTCAGGCTACATAGCTCACTTATCGGAAGGCTCCTTAATCTTTCACCATAAATCTCAAGCAATCTGAGTTCTGTGAAACCTCCCATTGGCAGTAAATGCAATATTTCAACTTCAGTCCCATCGAAACACAAACCGTCCAATTTCTTTGATGACACAGAGAATTTCTTGAGGCTTTGACAATCCTCAACACCAAGGTAAGAGAGAGATTCTAAATGAGTCTCACTTTCAAGGCTCTCTAATTCCTTGCAATCAGAGACATTCAATCCAACAAGAGATTGGAGAGATAAAATAGATGGATGAACACTATGTAGACTTTCACAACCCCCGAGATCAACTTCTTCAAGATTACGTGCCATAGAGAAATTAGGCAGCTCCACCAATTGTTTACACCCAGACAAACTTAACGTCTTTAGATTCATAAGATCCTGTGACAATGAACGGAAAAGTTTGACACATAAAAGCCTAACAATTTAATTAAATTGAAGAGAGAAAGACACACATATTAATTAGTGTGTATGTATAAGTACCTGCACTCCATCCCAAAGCTTTTTAATATTGCTGTCCATTATACAAAGTTCGACAAGGTTCTTAATACAAAGCCCCAACGGCAAAGACTCCAGTGGATATTGCTCCCAAGAAAAATGCCTTAATTTATTAGGAAAAGAGCCATGATAAAGACTCTCTGATTTCTCGCAATGAGATACATCCAATGTAACAAGAGATTGAAGACAAAAAATAGATGGATGAACACTACATAAACTTTCACATCCCGAGAGATATACTTCTTCAAGATTATGTGCCCTAGAGAAATCAGGCAGCTCCATCAATTGTCTAGACCTCCTCAAATCTAACATCTTTAAATTCACAAGATCCTGTGACAATGGAAACGGAAAAAAATTTCAAGCATAGAAGCCTAATAATTTAATTAAATTGCGCGCGCGTGCACACACACACGCATCAATTAGTGTATATTTATATAAGTACCTGCACTCCATCCCAAAGCTTTTTAATATTGCTGTGTTGCATGCGTAGCACAACAAGGTTCTTGAAACAATAGCCTTCTAATGGCAAAAACTCCAATGGATATAGATCCCAATGAAAATACCTTAATTTATTAGGAAAAGAGCCAAGATAATAAAAAAGCTTTGAATTTTTTTTCTCCTCGAACGAATACCAAGGATGACAAATTTTGAGAATTCTTAAATTTGTCATCTTTGTGAAGGTATCGGGGCTCAATCGTAAATGATTTATTCTATTCCAATCCAATATGATGCCTTCAATTTTATCAGTTCCCTGAAAAAAAATAATATTAATTATTTAAAAAAGTTATTCCAAAAAGATAAAAATAAAAAATGATATATATTTCACTTACCATGTTCCTTTGCAGTACATCACAAATTTCATCCGCATCATTTAATCGGCTACGTAATTCAGGATATTTTGAACATTCCTCACGAACTATTTGCTCACCCATTTCTTGAACCAAATCATGCATTACAATTTTACAATCATGATTTGTTTTTATGAGAGCTTTATCCATGAGATTCTCAATTCCACTAATTGCTCTGAAACCACAAGCCTCTAGCACTTGAGTAACGTGATTTTTGCCTTCTCCAATGAAGAAAAAGGCAATGTCTAAAAATATTTCCTTATCCATGTCATCTAATTCATCATAACTAACTTTCAATATATTTTGAATTTTGGACGGGGATACTTTCTGAGTTTCTTGAGCTCACTCTCCCAGTATGCCTTATCTCTAGAATGAAAATGGGAACCCAAAACTTCTAAAGCTAGAGGAATGCCTGTAGCATAGGCAACTGTCATTTCTGATAGCTTTTCATATCCCATACTGGGGTGAGTTTGTTTGAAGGCATGTAAACTAAAAAGTTTTAGTGATTCTTCAAAATTCAACTCCTTGACTTCATGTATATATTCATCATGAATCTCTCCACTCCTAAAAACATGCTTGTCTCTACTTGTTACAATTACTCTACTGCCAAGTCCCAAGTAAAGTTGCTGTCCAGCTAGATCTTTTAATTGCTTTGAATCGGACACATCATCAAGCACAATCAAGACCTTTTTCCATGACAGTCTTCTCCTTGCACCATCCTCTTCTATGGTGACATCTTTGTCTAGGTGTAATAGCTCAGAAAGAAGCTTTTGACGCAAGCGACTCAAACCATCGATCCTTGTTGATTCCTCTCTCACTTTTTCTAAGAAGCAACAGCTTTCAAATTGAGAAGAGAATTTGTCAAATGTAGCTCTAGCCAAGGTGGTTTTGCCTATGCCACCAACACCCCAAATACCAAGAACTCGAACTTCCTGTGACGTAATTTTCATTAATGATTCAACAATGTCGAGATTGTGATCAAATCCAACAAGCTGGGATTTTGGCACAACTAGGTTGTGATCTTTCAATTTTTTTAGGACATCTTGGACTATTGCATCAATGAGCTGTGATTCGTTTCTAGCATGTTGAAAATGAAAGAAAAGAAAATTATTACGAGCTACTCATTATATAAGAATAATAAATGCATAGACATAATTTGGTATTACCATATTCTAAATCATTTTGGGGGTAACTAAGAAAGGGCTTTAGAAACTCTATAAAATGATGTATTGAATAATTAAAACTTACTGAAAATTTGATGAATGATAACCAGATAAGCCTGCGGTTTTCTTCAAGACAGATCTCCAAATTTTCAACTTGCCCATATTATCCTTGAACCTTTGTTCATGATCATTAAATGAATGATAACCAAATAAGTAGGCAAAAATTTTCAAGACACATCCCCAAATTGGCAACTGGTTCAAGTTATCCTTGAACTTCTGTTCAAGATGTGCAAATGATTCTGCATAAGTGCCTTTTTGATGCCTGACATCTGAAGGATTGACATAATAGAAAACTGGTAACACAATTTGTCCATTTGCTTCGTTACATTCCATGATTTTGACAAGCTCGTTCAGACACCACGTTGAAGAAGCATAATCTTTTGAGAATATGACCAACGCAATCTTTGATCCTTTTATGGCTTCCTCAAGTGCAGACGATATTTCATCTCCTCCCTCCAGCCTCTCATCCACATAGACATCAACCTGCTTTCCACGCAACGCCGTTGTCAAATGGCCGAGAAAACCAAATCTGATGTCTGAACCTCTAAAGCTGATGAAAACTTCATATTTCACTCGGGAAGAAGAAGCAGAAGCAAACACAGCCATTGCTGAGGCACCGAAAACAAAAAATAAAGTTTTATAGGTTGTTGATTTTTCCCCCTTAAAAAGACAAGAAAGAAAGAATAGCGTATAAGTTGCTAGAGAATGAAGGAGAAAGTTCAAATCAATACCTTGGAGGCAGAGGCTAAATCAAATCCAAGGTTGAAGACTTGAAGTTGACTTGGCGAGTTTGCCTATCCAGGGAATTCGATGGACACAACAGAAAAATGAGTCTGAGTATATTGAGCCTTTGTTCAAATTGAAGTTAACAGGGAAATTTCCAGGAAGTAGACAAATGAGTCAATGAGCCTTGACTAGCGAGTCGTTATTTTTATTGCAAGGTAAAACTGTCGGTGGAAAGTTTTTGTTTAAAATAAGAAGAAATTTCCACGAACAGTGAAAAACTTTGATCCCCAGCTCTTTTTGACTACAAGTCAACATCCCTTTCTCTTTTGAGTTTTTCTTTAATTAAAAACTTTTAGAAAGTCTTGAAAATGAATTCATTAAAGACGAAAGTCAGTTGAAATTTCAAAGAAATATAAAAATTTGTCTTTTCCTAATTCTTTTTCACTCGGTCAAAATGTGTTTTTTTTTTCTGTTTTTTTTTTCTTACTTTTTTTTTTAGTTTTCTGCTTTTCAGACACGGTTTATTGTACTATGAAGTAGTATTTTCCACGAAGATGTAATAAAAATGGGTCTGTGCAAAGATTGTTTATTTGTTTCTCACGTCCAAATGAGAAAAAAAAAATATTTATTTTATTTTAAGGGGCTTTAGCCCAAAACTTCTTAATTATTGTTCCCTCCAATTATAATATATGATGTCTGCTAAAAATATTATTTGATCCAAAATATAACATATTAAATATTTTTTATAATTATTTTTTAACTACATCTTTACTAATTCATTATTATTTTTTAAAAATAATGTATTGAAATTTAAATTGCTATTATCAAAACACTTATATAGAATATTTAATAAGGATTTGATTAAAATATAAACTTTTTTAAGGCTTTACCTAAATTTTTTTGAGAACCATGAAGTAATTCCTTATTGATATCTTATATTGTGATTAACAGAAAGTAAGCGATAGTAATTAACTATTGAGAATATATGACAATTGAATAAGTAAGGCTCTAACTTTCTTGAAAAACTAAGGCATTATCCTGAATTTACAAAATTAATCACAGAAGATTAAAGTTGTACTAGTACATATGATTTAGTACATTTCTTATGTTGTTATATATATATATATATATATATAATTTAGGAGACTAAATTTATATTATTTTTTTAAAAAATTAATTATTTAATTTTTTTTTTAGTTTTGGCCTAGTTATAATTCAATACTTAAACTTTGACTCGTTATAACTTAGTTTTTATAATTTTAACTCGTTTGTAACTCAATTTTTAAACTTTACTTTTTACAATTTAGTCCCTATGATTTTAACCACTTAAATATTGATTCTTATATTTCAAAAAATAAAATTATAAAGATTAAAAATATTTTGAACCTTTAATATTTATAATATTTAAAAATTAAAAGATTAAAATTATAATATTTTGAACTTTTAATAGTTATAATATTAGTAAAAAAATTGTAAGATTAAAATTATGTTAAAATTTATTACTAATATTTTAAATTATTAAACCCTTTTAACGTCTATAAATATTATAAATATTAATTTTTAAAATATTTTTAATCTTTATAATTTTTTTTTAAAATATAGAGATCAATATTTAAGTGGTTAAAACTATAAGAACTAATTGTAAGAGGAAAAGTTCAGGGACTAAATTTCAATCGAATTAAAATTATAAGGATGAATTATGAGTTAAAGTTCAAAAATTAAGTTATAATTAGCCCAAAATTATATAAACTAAATGATTAATTTTCTATTTTTATAGAATATTTATGTGTATTTTATGGGTTTTTTTATTTTGAATTTTTTTTGTAATTTTTAAGTCAATTAATAATCAAAATTAATTATTTTAACGACAATGTGTTTAATATCTTATTTTCAAATGTTAAAAGAAGAATTATACCATATGAAAGTTTAAAATATCATAACCTAATAATAATCATAATAAATTTATATTTAAGAATTCAAACTATAATAAATAAATATGGGTACTATTGAAACATAAAATTAACTAATCTAACTTCAATTTATATTAAGAAAATAAGCTTTTCAAAATTTTCCTTTCATTAAGAACTTAAAAGAATAATCAAGGACTTGTTTGGTTTTTGTTTTCACTTTTTTATTTTTAAAATTATTTTTTAAATCAATTTTTAAAGTTGTTTTCAAAACAAAACAATAAAAATATAATTAATTATCTTAATTTAAAAATAAAAAATTGTCTAATAATGACAATAATTAGTGGCTAATGAGTAATGATGGTAGTTTATGATGGTGATTGGTAAAAAATTATAATTTAAATAATCAAATGTATCTTGAAAAATATGAAAAATAAAATAAAAAATAACTTTAAAATGTATCTATTTTTTGTTTTTAAAAGCAAAAAACGAAAGTAATTTAGTAAACAAATTTTCAGAACAGAACAACTTTTTCAATTTTCTTATTTCTATTCAAATGATTACAGGCCTCTTCTGTCTTCTTTCTTGTGTTTCTAGTCTATCTATAATATGATAATATCAATTTGGGATGGCCCAGTGAACGACTAAAATATCCTCTATAAGTCGGCAACGGGGTGCTTATTTGAAAATCAAAATTCCCGCGTTTGCTTTTGCTTTACCCAGGCGCCTTGACATGGCTTTCTTTAGGCGGAGCCGTCCCTTTCCCTGTTCTTCTCCTGCGACCAGGTTGCCCATGCGTCACTCGTCTCCTCTTTCTCTATGTTGTCTGACAAACCTCGTCAAGACTACAAGGACCACAACGCACGACAGCTAGAAGCTCGTGGTGCTATGTCTCCTCCAAAAGTCATTATGACTGATCAACCCACCACATCCTCCATTGGCGATAACCTCCTAAGACGAACTACTAAGGAAAGGCTTGGCGATGAAACAAAGAAAATCGCCTAATTCGTTCACACATACATCAACGCACGTCTCCTGTTCTTCTCCCTCGACCACGTTACCCGTGCGTTGCAGATGCAAGTCTCCTCTCTCTGTCGTCCATCCATTTTGTTGAGTTTGTCTTGGTCTGGCGATGTCAGGTCAGGATTAATTCAAGGCTCCCATACTGCTCCTAGGGTTTTTGCACACAGGTGATGTGGTTCAAATTTTCCTCCTATTGGTTTCCTCGGGTTTGCATGTTCCCTTTGTGATTGGAATTTCTTTTTGCAGTCTCCTTCTGGTTCCATGTCTAGCATAGGGACAAATAATGTTAATGTGAAGGAAGAGGAGAAATCCGAGACATATAGTCAAAATATGACAGAAGCCATGTGTGCTGGTAGGTTTAATTCTCTTGTCACATGATTGCTACAAACCTTAGCTTTGTTTGTTACAATTTATGATCAGTTCTAGAAGTCTATACAATCTTCATATTCATCTATTAGTTTAGGCTAATTGAAGGATTTAAAATGATGCTCATGGTCATCCTATTCTTGCATTCTTTGAATATGTTTTTTTAGATTTTTGATATTGGGTCCTTTACAGTTTAGACTTATATGCACGAACTGGGGATGAACTGCAACTTCATTTGTCTGGACTTAATTGTGGGATCATGCCTGCAGGTGTTTTTTTGTCTCAATGATGGAAAACTGCTGCAATTATATTCCTCATCCTATTTGTAAGATTTTGAGAGCCATGTTATACACATGGTGTGTATAACCATTTGAGAGCCACGTTAAAGTAAACGTCAGTAATTTTGGTAGGCTATTTCTTCTTTGCAATGCTAATTAACTCTAACTTTTAGCTTTGAATCTATTTGGGTCATTGGTTCCTTGAACACTGTTGTCTTGTATTATGTGTTCTTTCTACTACAGCTTCCTTACAGCTTTGACAATGATTTTGTAGGCTGTCCTTGGGAAGCAGAGTTATATGCTCATTGGGAGGCATGATCTTGAGAAACTGGTGAGGATTGACTCCTCAAGTGCATGTTTGCCACACCTGCTTGGTCAATTTAACACAAAGTAATTTGCCTGATGCTGAAATAATTGAGGTTGAATTAGAGCTAGGCAATTTAATACTGCATTTGCGTCCCATTAAGCAGGGGTTGTGTGGAGCTGTCTAAACTAACAAATTAGTTATTTTTGCATTTTATTTTGTGTGTTGGGGTTGGTTTGTCAGAATTGCCTTTAGATCTTCATTGATGCATTCATGCATTCAAAGAGAGTGATACAAGAGATTATAGCTTTGTATGGGTTCTATATCTCATAATTACACTAATTCACTTCTTGATTTGGACCAATCAGAGTTCTGTGTCCTCTGACCTTATTATGCCATGAAATTGGGGTATAAAGGCAAGTCAGATGGATGCCTAACTCAACCCAACAATTTTGCCTCTCCTATTTTTCTCTGTTTGCCTGCCAATATTTTTCTTGCTCCCCACGACTTCTTTTGGTGTTATATTGCTACCTAAATTCTTATTGCTCTTAAATTTTTTAAGAGATTCTAGGTCCATGGCAAAACTGGGAATATTCTTTATATTCTAAATCGCCTTCTTCACATCTCATCTGTTGTAATAAATGTAGTTTTACTTCAATAATATGGTCAAGAAATTTCTGACAGCTTGCTCTCAGCCCTTGTATTGATGAAAATTCTATATCCTTACATTTTTTTGAAAATCACATGCACATGTATAGGTCTATAAACGTGTTGAACTAATTTAAATTGATCAAGCGCATTCAATTAAAATAAAGCAAGCTCAATTTTGAGCTTCATCCACGTTGCTTTATATATCATTGCGGAGCTGGCAATTTCCTGGATGCATGCTCATAGACTTATGCTGATTTCTGTTACTTCTTGTGTATGATTTCTTTCTAGGACCTAGATGATATGAACTTTGAAATAATGAGGACACTCTTTATAAGGCATATCTCGAAGACTTTTACAAATTTTGTCAAGTGAGTGCACAAGAGCTTTTTTCAACACTCTACGCATTCCCTCTTTTCCCATTTTTTGTGGTTTAATGAATTTTGATATTGTATTTGGATAGAAACTTGGTGGTGCCACAGCTGAAATCATGTCTGACCTTCTAGCTTTTAAGGCTGATAGAAGGGTTGTGAATATTACCATAAATAGGTAATTGAAATTAGGGTTTTGCTTAATTTTTTTCACTTTAGATATTTTTACCACTGATTTTGATGTTTTTCACTTTCCACTATTAGAAGTATTGGTACTGAACTCACTAAAGATACAACAACAACAAACAACAACAACAACAACAAGCCTTTATCTTACTAGGTGGGGTCGGCTACATGGATTGCAAGACGCCATTGTACTCTATCATTTATCAAGCTTTTAGGAATATTATTAATTAAGATATCGCGTTCAACAACTTCCAAGAGTGTTTTCTTAGGCCTTTCTCTACCTCTCTTAATCGGACTTAAAGTTATATGTTCCACTCTTCTCACTGGTGCCTCCCTTAGTCTTCTTTGTACATGCCCAAACCATCTCAACCGAACTCACTAGAGATGACTGTAGGAAATTGTACTCTAATTTTGGTTTGCTGTAAGTTCTGATCTCATTTTGTTGTTGAAAATGGAAGTATATTTGTTGCTTTGGAATGATTTTTTTGGCTAATGGCTAACTTGATTAGGTTCCCTTATGGTCATGAGGAGCTTGCTGTATGTGAAGACATTGACTAGATATATCTTGCATCTCAATTGGGTGATGGTTTGAGTAGTTTCATTGGTGGATCTAAGTGGAATGTTCTGCTATTTTTTTTCCTTTTCCATTTGTAACTTGTACTTGATTTTGGCCATTGATTTCACAGCCTTCTTTGTATAGTTCACTGTCGCTCTTCCCGTAGCTATTCTTTGTATTGCCAATCATTATAATAGTGGGCTGGAGACACTTATATTTCTACTTGATGGCTTTAATTGTGATGCTATTTTAGGCCTGAGATCCCAGTTTTGGTTGCTGGTTTAGGCTCGTGCAGTCATGAAAAAATATCCCCCTTATCAGTCTATCATTGCTAAATTGTCGTATGGAGAGAGCCAGATGCTTGACAAGGCATTCTAATGAGGAGGACGAGAAGAGGCTTTGCTTAGCATTTGAGCAACAAGTTTGTATTTCACTTTTTCTGTGGGTACCGGTATTTCTAGCTTCAGTAGAGCATTAGTTAGTAAAGGAATAGCACCAATGGATCTTTTATAGGTCCTGAAGGAATAATTTCACATTGTCTAGGTAAGTCCTACTCTATTCTGAACTGCCCTGTTTTGTCTATTTGGCAGCTCCATGATGCTGTGTTTTTCGCATATATGAGGTTAAGGGAGCAGGGGATTCGGAACCTAATGTGGATTCAAAACCTAATTATTTTTTATTGTAATAAAGTCAAGATATAGCAAGGAAGCATACAAAGGTGAGCGGACAAATTCTTCATCTTCTGCATGTCATCCTACCTCTTTTATTCTCATCCATCTATTTTCCCAACTGTACTTTTTGGCTTTCTTCTTACATTTAATTTAGAAAAAATGGACAAGAAGAGAGAATTAGCTGCATCAAGACTGCTTGGAGATGTCAAAAAGGAGAAAAGCAACAGAAGTGTTGAGAAAGAAGCAACTAACAATAAACCTGCTCAAGATGATCAGCTTAACATCGAGGAGTGCAAGAATCTTAAGAAAAAGAAGCAAGAAGAAAAGGTTGTAAAGCAGAAAGTTGCTAATAAGACAAACGATTGCTAATTGGTTTTCTTTAGTAGAGCAGTTGTGAGCATGATTTCGTTGAGGAAGAATGTCCTACTAAACCTAAAGATCCATCATCCATGAAGCTTTTAACAATATCGCCTGCAAGTGTGGAACAAAGAAATACAGTTTGGAATGCCAGAGTAGGTTTATCTTTGAACTTTGTATTCCATGTTTTTTTATTGAATATGATGCAGATCATTTGATCCATTGGATACATTTGTGGCTGTTATGTTTCTACATGGCCAAGCAATTACTAACTCTTAAATTGCTGAATATCTACTAAGTCTTAATTACAATCCATACTGAATGTATAAAGTTTTAATTTTGATGTTTTTTGCATCTTTTCATGTAAGAAGCTTAATCTTGCAAAGATAAAAATTTTAATTTGAAAGTGGTTAAACACAAGTGGCCTAAGGTCAGATTCTCATTTCTTAGTTTGAAGTACAGAGTTGTAGAGCACAATAAATGAAGAATAAGCAGATGGTCAACATATACCGAATGGATTCTTCTTACTATGTCCCAGTTCTTAGTTGAATTAGTTTGTGACTTTTGAGAAGGGTGCTCGGTAGAGTTAAATATTACCCCCTCCATTTTCTTCTCCCCTTGCAAGTGAGGCCATATTTCCTTACTTTTGCCATATTGTCCAAGTATAGAAATGTATCATTCACAAGGATCCTTTGTTTAATACAACCTTCGATTGCAAGGTCTAATGTTAGTACATATATTTGGACAAGTTATACAGCAATGATTGTCGCCATATTTGTCCTTCCATTTTTGATTGTTCAGTCGCCATAAATTCTTAATTCAACTTTCGGAAGGCACCTGGCTATTTTGATTGCACTTATTTTCCGTCTTTGTTGATTGCTTATTGCCTTTACCAGTTAAATTTTACAATTAATTTGGCAATATGTATTTATTTTGTTTTCTAAGCACTTCAATTATATAATCTCAGCTCTAGGCTTGATGCTTTCTCATGTACTTGCTGTTCTTAAAGGTGCCTCTTCTCAAGCCAAGTTCATTTAGCAAGTGGATGTATGCAAAAGTGCACACTTCAAGCCTATGAAAATTGAGAAATTATAGATTATGTAAATTGGCATGTGCCTCTACGTCAGGTCCAACAAGCAATTCAGGGAAGTAGGGATAACCAAGCATCCTTCTATGTGGGGGTAGAGGCATCCATGAGTTATCTATAGGATAATAATGTATTATATTAGGTTTTTTACATGATTAAGTTATTATTTATTACCTTCAAAAAATGCTAAATTAGTAATGTCTTGAAGATATTCTCCATTAGGATTATAATGAGTTATCAGCACTAGATAATTGCTAATTTTTTTGTTTTTTAATTTTCTATAAATAGGGTAATGGATTATACTATACTCGGTTTAGTGTTTACAAACATGAATAAGCCTACATTCATTTGACTTCATAAAAAAATTCTTGCATATTATCTCATGTATATATATACATATATATTTTCGCATTTATTGTCTCATATATCTAAATTTGATTTGTCACCAAGTAGTATAGTTAATCTTTTTAAATTTTACTATTTCAAATATCTGGTCAATTGCTTTTGTATTTTATGAAAAAGAGAGTATAGAAGATTCTTGAATACAAATTATAATGGAGCACAAGCGAGAGAAAGAGGTTTCAAGATTAGTTTATCACTATCATTATTATTATTACTACTACTTTCATTTCTTTGATGTTTTCAGTTTGGTTAGATGCAAATGAATCTACACATAAAAAACCTAAAGATACTAATTCACAAAAAAAAAAAGCTTCTTCAAAAATAACTAATATTGTATTCCAAGATATATTTGAAAATATTGAAAAATAGATTATAGTTCTTTATTTTTATGTTATACATTACACTGATTATTTACCTAAATTTTTGCTTATGACTTGTTCTTTTCCATCATAATTAATTACAATTATGTCATTTACAATATCATTGGTTCGATTGGTTACAAATTAATGTATTTTAGCTAAAGATCATAAATAGTAAAAAAAAAAGAAAACTAAATAACACATCAATGTTGATTCAAATATATAGTGTGTAACAACAATAATGCTCTATAATATAATTTATCCTACAAGGTGAAAACACATTGAATTAATTTAATTAAAAGATATTTTGCTCGTGCATCGCACAGGTGGGACACTAGTTACCTTTGCTAACGCGAGATGGCTATATCTATAGTGAATGAATAGTGCTCAATCCATTGCCTTTATTAATGTGGCCCAGGTCATTATGTGTTCCGGTTCTCCATCTATTGTACTATTATAATTATAATAATATTGTACTATTATAATTATAATATAATATTATGATATTAGAGATAGAGATTCGAATATTGCAGTATTAATAATTAATAATAATATTATAATATTTGGTGGTCCTTGTTTGTTTTTTCCTCACCACAATTAATATTTTATATTTTATTTTGAATCTAACTACTATAACACAGAAAAAGATGGAGAAAGGGGAGGCTACTCTCGCATCCATGGGATAAATGAAGGGTCCGTTTGATTTACAGCTTTTAATATTCAAAAAGTATTTTCTTACTTTTTAAAAATTAAATGTTATTTGATTTTTAATATTTTTTAAAAAATTTATTTAAAAAGTCATTTTTAAATATTGTTGAATGTGTTTTGGGCCAACTTAAAATAATGAAGCTTTTGAAAAGTGTGACATTATTTTATCATACTATTTCAAGTTTAATTTTTTTATTTAAAAAATAATTAATTCATTAAAAATATAATTATCATTTCAATAATAATAATTAAGTATCAATTTTTTAGTATTATAAATTAAATAATTAATCATGTTAATTTTTAACATTAATGTATAATAAAAATTATAAATCTTTATCACATTCTTTAAAGTTGCAAATTTAAAATGTACAAATAACTAGAGATCAATTTTTTATCATTATAAATCAAAATTTATGTTATTTAAAATCTTTATCACATTTTTTAAATATTTTAAATAAATTATATTTGTATAATAAAAGTTACAAATAATTATAAATTAATGTCTTTTTTGATAATTATATATTCAAAAGCACATTTCACTATCACAATTTAAATAACTTTTAATGTATCAAATTAATTTTTTAAAAAATATATTCAAATATAAATTTTATTATAACAACTGACTTTTATTATATGAATTTTCATCAAATGAATTTTAACAAACTAAAAATCAAACACACTGGAAAGGTCAGTTGGTTAGTTGGCGGGATTTTAACAATTTTCGAGTTCTTAGTGATTTTTGTGTTGCCGTTTTGCCCCACCAGGTGAAAATAAATATTTTGTTTGCCCAGTGTGGTATTCATATGTGCAGAACATCGTCAAGTGAAATTTTTGTCATCATATTCGTGCATTTTTTGTCTTAGCATCTCCATTTGTCCTTCTTTGCTTATTCTTGTGGTTGATCTTTGGAGGAATTGTGTGTTTATGTTGGTGGGTTTGATGGCAGAGGGTGACTGGAAAATCACTAATGTGGATTGTCCTCGTAAATGGTTTGTGTGGTCATGTCATTTGCTTGGTTGTGTTTTCTATTTCCCTGTCTTTTGTTCATTAGATGAGGTGATGATTCATGGGTATCAGTGTAAAGGAAGAAGTATTGTGAGACGATTGTATAAAAATGGGTTCATTGGTCGGAGTCTACCACATTACTGAGTTCCCATACAGTTTTTTTTTCTTCCTTTGGTTTAATTATTGATCAATTTCAAGTGATATTTTCTACATAGGGCTAATTGTCTATCACCATATTGTGTTCATGGTCTGCTTAGTGAGCGGTTTCACTATGTGAGGATTGCCCCCAATGACGTCTACAATCTAGACAAGGCCAGGGATCTTGAAATTGACCTTTCCCTTTTTGATCGTCCGCTCATTTTGTTCTTTCAGCTACCGTCCCTCACTTCGCTTGATCTGTCGGGTGTTCATGATATTATGGTGAATCTTTTGCATCAGAGGTCATCTTCATGTGCACCTTCTAGGTGAGATTTTTGTTCTCCAACTATCCTGTTGTGCGTCGTTTGTCTCTGGTCTGTTTTTTGTTCACTTTTTCCCTTCTTAGAGGATTTGTTTGGCTCCGTCGATCTCAGTGTAAGTCAGAGTGGAAGATTGGTGATGCCCTCGATGTTCTAGGTTCGTTTTGTTTTTCATTTAGTCGTCTAAGCCTTGCACGGGCAATTTAAGGAACATTTATTTTTTGGCTTATAAGATCCATGCTACTGCAAATTTATACTTCTCGGGCCGATTTGAAAGTAAGTACTTTTTTAGCTTACACATGTGTGCTTCCTTAGTATGTGAGATTTGGTTTTTGCCTAATGCCGGGGCTGGGATTGCTTAATTTCCTTCATATTTATGGGTTTTTTTGTAATTAAATGAAGTAAAAGAATATTATTTTGTTGACTGGCTCAAATTTGTGTCTGCATGATGGAAATAAGATATTTATGTTTATTTTTCTCACTCTTTTTTCTTTGTTTTTTTCCCTACTAATTCATATTTGACCATCTTGCTCTTGATATTGAAGGGAAACCTAATCGTTTAATCACCAGTGCTAATATTGGTAAGGATAAAGGTAATTATATTTCCTCATATCATGGCTACTTCACCAAACCTTGAAGACTCAACTATTTATTACTATGCAGGTTGATAAATGCATATTTTATAATTAAATAGGTATAGATTTTAGTTTGAGTTTGGTTTTATTTATTAAGATTTCATATCTATTTAATTGATATTTATATATTTTTCCCTCATCAGTTAATTATAAGATAAAAAAAATTTTAATACAAAATCCACTCATATCTTTTTATCTTTATATTTTGCAGAGAAAAAGAATAAACCAAATAGAAAGAAAGAAGGAAAAGAGAATATATATATATATATATATATATTAGAGTCTCGCATCGACAAGGAACAAAAGAAGGAGCCTCCACTTTAACTATAAATACTTCTCTATCAAGAGGAAAGGCATCCAATCACTTATCTGAGTACCTCAAGAATTCTTCTCTCTAAGATATTTGGAGCTCGTAGAAGCATTCTGAAGGTTGAAAGTGAGATCATTGAGGAGTTTCACAAATTAAAATTATTTCTTTTTTACTCCTTAATTTTCTCTGTGATCATTTTTCATAATTTGGGATTTTAGAACAGTGTTATTTGATTTTATTATGTATTTCTAAATTACCCAATTGGGATAAAGATGTAGTCCAATTGGGAAGCTAGTTTTCTATTTCCTTTATTTTGACTTCTTACATTTATATTTATGAATATTTTTGCTTTTTTTAATTATATTTATTTCTCTTGTTCTTCATATTGATTTAATGACTAGCCACCATTTAATCAAATCTATGGGTAATCTTGATGGATTAGGAGGTGAAAAAAGAACCTAGATCTAGAGAAATAAACATAAATAACTAGGCTAGGGATAGTTCTAGAAATTTATGATGACTTAAACTATAGCTTCACAGTTTGATTAGATGTTTGGGTATCGTGGGAATGAATTCAACACTAATTAAAAAGGGACTAATAATTTGGGAGAATATTAGGACACTTTAGGAATAGTTGTCACTATAATTGATCCGAGTCAATTCAAAGGATAGAAACTAGCAACCTATAGGGTGAATTCTAAATTTCAATGCTTCAAGTGATTGTATTTTTCATCATCATTATTTTCTTTATTTATTTTTATTCTTTATATTTTCATCAAAATTATTCATTTTATCTATTTTTCTTGAACTATTAATTATTTAAATTAGTAAAAGTGTAACTTCCTTATGGGTTTGACACTTGAAATACTCCGAGTAATTTATTACTGTGATCTCGTACACTTGTAAGAGCAATCAAGTTTTTGGTGCTGTTGCCAGGGAAGTCACAAATTTACTAACTATTTAATTTTTAGTTCATTTTAATTTTAAATTTTAAATTTTATTTATTTATTATTAATTTTTATACAATTGAGAATTTCTGGTGATTTAAATTTGATTCCTATTAATCTAGAAATTGAACAGTTTTGCAGGAAAAATAGATCTCAAAGAAGAAGAAAGATGGGTGATGAAACTATTCCAGAGCCATCCATTACATTTAGAGATATTCAACGCCCATTCATCACATCTAATCTGTCATGCATCCAACTGAGTACGAGAGCACATAATTATGAATTTAAGAATATTCACTTAAATGCGATACCTAATTTTAACGGGCACCGAACTGAAGATGCCTTAGATTTTATACAAGAATTTTATATGGTAATTGATACACTATCGCTAAATAATCTATCGGATGATGATT